TGTCACCTAATGTGCTAAAGTGGGATAGCACATGAGTATCAAAGAACTCTTATAGATTTGATGTAAATATATTTGTCCTTTGCAAACGTTTTCCGTGAAATCGGTAATATTATAATTGATATATCTGAAGAGTGGAGGTGAGTAATTTTAGAACAGAAGCCGGTAACGTGCGTCAATAGCCCACGTCAGTATTGTGTTGACCATGGTCGAAAGTGGTTTCCTTTGTGACGAGCGCGCGTTAACGACTGGGTTCCGTCTCTTCACGATATATAAGCAAAGTTTAGCCTGGAGGATTAGTGAGTGAGTGAGTGAGTTGGGTTTAACACCGCTTTTAACAGTATTCTAGTTATATCGTGTCAGCTTAATGTGGGAGGAAAGCCCGATGTGATGCAGATCTCAGACGTTTACCAGTTCGGTGAAACCCACGAGCACGGGTATGGTGCTGACAAACCTAGAAACATAATAAGGTCGAACCGGGATTCATAGGTTTCTGGCGTGCCCAAGGGACGCAATGCTGCACAGCGAATCGCGGCCACCCGTGCCTCCCCGTGGAGGATTAAAAGAAACTATAGGGAAATAGATAGTTGAATATATGGGTTAATAGATCGGATAAATCGAAATTTGGCATGACCCTCTATCCTTATCGTCATGCGCCAAATATGGTCACGATTGCAAAGATGTTGTTCTGAGAAAACCTTCCAATTGTCGACCTACTGATTGACCAATCAGACTACAGATAGAGAGGTTAAAACTGACGAAGATGGCACAATGACATGGGATCGCAAACGTTTCCTGAAAGGTCAAGTTTGGACCCGCGGTCGTTACAACCGCAAGTTACAAAAAACATGTTTTAATTTGCAAAGGCTGATCGGGAGAATAAATCTTCTTTTTTTCCGCCAAACCCGGCATTGTGCTCTTGGAGCATAAAATTAACGAATCCATACAAATTACAGTGTCTCATTCTCCCAGCATGCTTCATTTCACAATAATTATCACTGTAGTAAGGGGCTTCGGAGTCACTGCTCCCCCCTCCCTCTCAAATTAACACCCACATCTCCGTTGCAACAACTGTTTCCGGCAGTCGCGCTCTCTTTCTCTTTAATAGCCTGTCCACTTTAATTTTCTCTGTTGTTGTGTGGTAATCGTAAAGAACAAACGTTTTGGGTTTTTTTCGTTTCGGTTTTCTTTCGTTTCGGGTTTTAATGTTTCGAACCCACTATCATTGTGTTATGGCGTGCCCAAGGGACGCAACTCTGCGCAGCGAATTGCGGCGCCATAGACGACTGGGTGCCGTTGTTCAAAGCGATCTCAGCCCTAAGGTTATCGTAACTCCAATACCTTAACATAGACTTACGACAGGTGTAGCGCTAAGGTTGTTTTGTACAATGCACCCTGGGCTATCCGCACACCCATGATCCCCAGCGAGGTGGCCTAGCTTTGGTTGCTGGTTGCTTAGAGTCCATGTTTTAAAAAGCTGTAAATAGTAAAGTTGTGCTAAAACGTGTTCGACGAATTTGCTTTTAAACATAACTTTGATGTATCCATGTGACGTGCTTGCAGCCATAGCAATTGTTCTCGTCGCTGTATGGCTGAAACTCGCGCTCATTCGCTCAATACATCACTCATCACCCCCAGCATCACATGACCACCCCACAGCAGGAACCACGCCCACCTCCTCACACCCTCCACACTACATCCTACTTCCACCCCTAAACCCCCCCCCCCCCCCCCCCCCCCCCGACCCCACACACCACCATCAACACCCCTCACCCCTTCCCTTCAGCCCTTACCATCTCCTTCAGGACCGTCCTCAACACCGACAACTAAAGGTGAAGCAGAAAATATATTGATGAAAACAGTATACAGCTATTTCTGGGCCCAGAGAAGCGAGAGCGTCATATTTGGAAGGCCGTAAAGAGAGGTCGTGGAGACAGTGACAAATACATGTCGTTTATCACACGCTCCGAGTTCCCCATAATCCCCGCACATGTCTGAGTGGCGGGGAAATGCCAACCCGCGTAACACCGGCTTGTCGCTCCCTCGGTATCCATCGAACACATATAATCCCTCACGGGAAAAACGCTAAAAGAGTGTGCTATTATTTCTCCCATGACACGGAAGCCCCAAGGCTGTTCCCAACCTACACGTTGTAAACGCTCTCTCTCCAACACATCAAATGTAAAAATAAAATTCAAATCGGCTGTAAATCCGCCATGGCAGATTTCTTTAGTTTTTCTGACATGATTTGAGCAGTACGGATCAATCATTGAGCATCTTAGAAAACCACTCAAACAAAACCCAAAGAATGTGTTTTGTGTTGCAACGCCACATTAAAAAAACAACAACCCCCAAAATGTATTAGATTATCCCATGCCTTGAGGTCATGGCTTCATGTCACGTGACCAGCCCTGGGACTTCATTCCCTGTAAATGTGATGATCCTGTAATAAGGAAAAACACAGAAAAACAGAAAGATGATAGAGTAACGGGGTGCATCGACTGTTCAGATTTTTTAAAGATCGATCTTTTGCATATGAAATTTTGCAATTCTATTTTTTCGATTGAAACAAAACTGTCTCGAATCTCAAAAGACGAAGGATAAACGTGCGTCAGACTGACACAACAACTTAAAAAACGCGTGGTAATAACCTATACGTTTACTTCAAAGGGAGACAACCGAATGTAAGGTGAATATTTCAATTTAGGAAAGTGAAATTGTCGGAGTGAGAAAAATGCAAAGACGCGGTCTTTCAGCAAAAGTCTCGAACTGGTGATTTATATGACCGTTTCTCCTGGGGTGTCTACTTGGTGTCAGACTGGCTGCTGCACGGGTCCCCCTTCCCACTCCAACCTTCCCCCCGAGTGAAGCCTTGTCAATATTTTCCCTACAGACATCTCCCCGGGTGACTCATGGGTTAGACATAGCCCTGTACAGGAAATGAATCTCAATTCGTTTTAGTCAGTCAAATGGCACTTCCGGTGGGAAACACTGATGGACATCCTTATTTAAAACGAAATTGGAAAACGAACTCTTTGCTTTTACGCACATCCGTGACGTCTGATACAGATATTTTGTTTGCTTGTTGTTTTAACGTCGCACATTGTAATAATCAATCTCTATGACGGCAGCGATACAGTGTGAGGCCATCATCATCATCGAATAAACAATATAAATATAGACAATAATAATAACACCCCACCCATATGGCACTATACTCCATGCACAAGCATGCTCTGCGTGCTAAGACATTTATTTCCCCTCTCAATGGATCAGTGTGCATTCATCAATCATTCTCAGCTCCCTGGGGAGTATACAACCGAAGCTGAACTAGAAGGTTAACAACCATTTCATCCTACCGGATACCAATTCACCGCTTGGTGAACAGAGGCACAATTCGAATAAAGTCACTTGCCCGAGGAGACACCACGTGTGTCACATGTGCTTCAGTGTGGGTCAGGACCGAAGCCCTAGAAACTCTCAGGAGTCAAGCTGCCGAAACCCCGTCCCCATCCACGGACTCTCCACGACCGACGTTGCTTAACTTCATCTGATTTGCGCTCTAAACAGGACCACGTGCCACTACATGTGCTGGCTTTGGTTTGTTGTTTAACGCCGCACTCAGCAATATTCCAGCTGTATGACGGCGGTCTGTAAATAATCGAGTCTGGACCAGACAATCCAGTGATTGACATCATGAGCATCGATCCACGCAATTGGGATCGATGACATGCATCAACCAAGTCAGCGAGTCTGACCACCCGATCCCGTTAGTCGCCTCTTAGCAGTGGTCGTCATCAGTAGTTGATGAAGCATATTCGTTAAATCCTTTTTCGTGTTCTAATCCATGTTTTGTTGGTGGCGTATAAGTCATTTGTGATGACAATAATGAGTTTATTCTTGGGTTGATTGTGATGGGTGTCTGGAGGATGAGGTGACACCAGTGGAATAATGCATCGGATTTATTTCCGATAACAAAACGTGTGTTACCAATAGGACGTCTGTGTGACTGACAAGACATATTCCTTTAATATTTTGAAGACTTGTAAATGAGTTTATACCGGCACCAAATTTCAACATTACTCTTTTCTAACGATGCCTTATATACCACTCGCTTTTATAGGGATACTTTTTTATCTCTCCATCAAACACAAGCACGATTCTTATAACATGTCATGTGTATATATAAATATATCTGACATACCGAATTATACATATGAAAGGCTGAGTAAGTATTTTGACATATTAAAAGCAATTAATGGTTTACTGTTGACGATATAGTGTCTCTTGTTTTTCCTGAGTGTTGTTTTACGCCGCTTTCAGCAGTGTCTCAGAGATGCCATGGCGGGGGACACCAGAAATGAGCTTCACACATTTTGTCCAGGTGGGAATCGAGCCCGGGCCCCCGGCGTGACGACCGAACGCTTTAACTACTTCCCCCCCCCCCCCCCCCCTCTTGTTTTCATCAATGAGGGAAACGTCATCTGGATACCTCTGTGTGGTATAAACACGTTATGTCTCCATACTACAGGCTTGCACCATGTGTCTGAGACGATAGGGTTGACTGGGGTAGTCTATGCAGCAGGTCCGGGTTCGAATCCCGACAATGGTGCAATGGGTACAACCCTTATGGGGTTGCCTCTACCGTAATATGCTGGAATATTGCTTAAAGTAACCCACTGTCCACACTTAGCACACACATTACTCCCTTTATTGTTTGAGAGCAAAGCCCGGACTCTTTCATCTCTAAAACACTGCGACTGCCTCCGTGGTATAGTGGTAGAGCTTGCGCCCGGAGAGCGGAGAGCGGAAGGTCCGGGGATCGATCCTGCATGAACGTCGCTATATAAGTTCAATAATCTTGGACGCGACGTTTCACCTGACCTCACACCTCAAAAACACTGTGCACACACTGATTTGCCCTCGTAACCCTTTCTTTACTAGAGAACTAACTCACTCACTCACTCCGTCTCCATCTCCCTCAAAACAACAAAACAACTTACGTCACTGGTGCCGGAACCAAACAGCAGCAGATCAAAGGGTATGGCAGCAATGGCGTCGATGACGAACCAGCCCTTCACATAGTTTATCGCAATTTTCTGCGGATCACTGACCACCTCCCCATTGACCACAAAGGTTGTCCGGAAGTTAATCAGAATGTCCGCAATGAACATAAAGTCCACGATGAGGTCGACGATGACCAGCGGGTCCGCGCGACTAGTCTCCGCGATGGTGTCCCGAGTGGCGGGGTCCTGGTTCAGCTTCATCTTGATCTCTTCCTCGTTGAGGAGGAAGGCGGCGGAGTAGGGGGTGAAGACGGCGGTGTAGAGGACGAGGAGAAGGATGATCCAGTCCCACACAGCCTTGAAGGGGGAGTAATGGAGGATGATCATCTGGGATGAGGCCTGCTGGATCTTGGAGGGGGGGACGGGGTCATGGTAGCTCTGGTCGTCCGAATCCGTCTTTTCACTTTTGGAACCCTGGGAAGAAAAAAATCGGATTTTTTATTTGTATCTTTCGCATGCAAATTGTGTGAGTGACGGGTACTTATTGAGCAAATTGAGGTGTTCGGGTAGCCTTGTGGTTAAAGCGTTCGCTCGTCACGCCGAAGACCCGGTTCGATTCCTCACATGGGTACAATGTGTGAAGCCCATTTCTGGTGTCCCCTCACTGATATTGATGGAATATTGCTCGAAGCGGCGTAAAACCATACTCACTCACTTATGCAAGTTATATGCGTAGCGGGAGCTTTTTATGCAAATTGTGTGAGTGGCGGGTTCTGTCGGTTGGGCAGGACATGCTTAACCTTTCACGAACACCTGGTGTCATCACTGATTTTCATTGATACCTTTATACAATTTTCATAGCTATTTTGCTTTTTACGCCCAGTGGAATCTGTTTCGTCGGATAGTCGAGACTGGTTACTCTCTGGCGTTGGCCTTATTTATTTATTTTATTATTCATATCTGAAGAACTGACCAACATCAAAGATAGGGTTCTCTTTTTTTATGATCTGATTTTCAAATACATTGTGTTGGAAAATGAATTCAACTCTATGTTTACCCGTTCCAGGTGTGAGAAAATGGTCGTTGAATAAAAGTACTTTATGATCTATAAAGTAGATTGTCCATAACACCCACGACGACACATACGGATGACGGACGATGCAGCGCAGACACTGACAGGAACCATCCTGTGCAATAATGTGAGAGACACATCGAAAACGAAAAATGGCTGGTCGTGCAATCTATTCACGCAAAATATTGAGCCAAGAGCTGTGTACACCAAAAACTTGTAAAGCCTGGCCTTCAGAACACAAAAGGATATCCGGCTTTCAATCCTTCTTCAAATGGTGAAATGGGCTGTACTGGTGGAGACATAAATATCAGCTATATCAGGACAGTTCAACGTGTAGTAACAGACTTGTGATCGACAATGGAGCATACTCACAAGGGGACAGAAGACGAAGCCAAAGTGATGCAGTGAGTGAGTTGAATTTTACGCCGCTTTTAGCAATATTCCCGCAGTATCACGGCAGGGGACACCAGAAATGGACTTCACACATTGTACGAATGTCGGGAATCGAACCCGGGTCTACGGCGTGACGGGCAAACGCTTTAACCACTAGGCTAACCGACCGCTCGGCCACCTTGATCGAACCCACTAGCCTGGTAAGGTGGTGACAAAAATCCAAATGGAATCCTGGGGCGCGACCTAGACCACTTAGCCACCCTGTAATAGTTCTAGTTACATCTAACAGACAGTGTGGTACAAAAGGCGAAAGGTACAAAAAGTAAGTGATTGTACACGTTAACATCATTAACACCCCCCCCCCCCACACACACACACACCATATCCCCCCAAAAAACTAGAATGAAAAAAGTTTAAATCAAATAGTCTGTGTGTCTTCTTTGTATCGTTTGTTACACATGTAGTTACATGATCTAAGGTTAATTTATAGGCTGACACGCACACTTGAAAAATATTGGTTGTCGTTGCATTAGTTTTTGAAGATATCTGGCCTTGATCAGCGTGGTCAAAACAATGCTCTCTGGTTTAGACATATTCTCAGTCCTGATTGTGTTTGATGAAAGCAAAGTGGTACAACGCGCGGAAGGTCCGGGGTTCGATCCCCAGCCGCGTCATACCAAAAGACGTTAAAAGATGGTACTTGTTGTTACCCTGTCTGGCACTCGACATTAAGGGGCTAAAACAAGGACTGGTCGGAGTATACTGTGTCTGAGTGGGGTTTTCATGTTAAACTGCGGCATGGTATCTCAGTGGGCTAGCACTATAAATCGGCATCAGTCCGTACCAGTACAAGCAGCCACACACGCACACACGTGCATGCACGTCGCTGTATAAGTGCAATAATCCTGGACGCGACGTTAAACCCCATTTCACCTCACCTCACCTTCATGAAAGCAATGTTTGCTTAAAGTTGATTCGTACTGGCTACCCCCTGGCATCATGTTCTACCAATATGTCGCCGTGCAGAGTTGCGTCCCTTGGGCACGCCAGGAACCTATGATTGTGGGTTCGAATCCCGGTTTGCCACGATTATGTTTCTAGGTTTGTCAGCACCATACCCGTGCTCGTGGGTTTCACCGAAGTGGTAAACGTCTGAGACCTGCATCACTTCGGGCTTTCCTCCCACATCAAGCTGACTGGAATACTGTTCAAGACGGCGTAAAATCTAACTCACTCGCTCACTCAGTGTTAACCATATGAAGATAACCGTCGACATAAGCTCATGGCCTTCCTGCATCTGACCTTTGACATATCTATTAAGACACGAACTATCTGATCTGATATCTTAATCACACCTCTTCCTCGAAACCATTTTAGAAACTAAATAAATCAACACGGCTCAAGACGTCTTGAAATATTAGAAATTCCAAAACCATGTTTCTTCCAAACAATTCCTCGCATCGGCTTCGTAAGATCCTGTGCACGGACCACTTGAGAATGGAAGTTATTAATACATGAATCACACAAACTCAATTCATTGCTTTTTCATGTAAAATCTAACATGATTTATTTCCGGATCAAATGAACCTCTCCGAACTAGCATGGTCGCTTTGAGAGGCATAAATTTTGTAACTATTCAAGCCGAGCTGAGAATCCCAACCTCGAAATCCTTAGAGGAAAAGTGCACAGAAACTTGACCGTGACATCATATATTACGAGTTTGGGTGTAACACATCTTAAATAATTCCTATGACACTGGCGTAACGCAATTCTCGTTTCGTATGATAGCGTAAATAAACTTAATAGAGTTTTATTGCGAAAGGCTTTTAGAGTAATTTTACCAGGGGAGTTTTATTACATTGAGGCCCCATTTCGTCCCCTGTAAGAGAGGAGACCGGCTATATTGATTGTATATGGTCAAGATTAACAGCTTGATGCTCTCCAAGCAGGCATAATTTCTTATCAACGTCTCTCCTGGCTATAGGGGAGGGAGTTTTGTTGTGTTGCGCCATTACGGCCCGTCCGCAAACATCATAGGATCCGAGTAAAGATCTACTTAACTCGCGTTCTCATTAAATCTTGTGTTCAATATGTTGCAAAGAAAGGTTTTCAGTCGAAGTGTTCCTTTTATATGTCACGCAAATCCTCACTCAGTGGAATTGTTATTGAGAGAAATATATGTAATAATAAAAGGATTAATTGTCAACGAACTTGAAGTAAAACTGTAACTTTCCTCAATGTATATTTCATCACTGAGACACATTTCATCATTGAGACACATTTCATCACTGAGACACATTTCATCACTGAGACACATTTCATCACTGAGACACATTTCATCACAGAGACATTTAAAATTGCCTGGAGCCAGTCTTATCGAGTTGATGTGTTAGAAAAACGCTGTGTGACGTCATGGTAATTTTTTCACTTTGGCAACCAATTTGAACGAGCTGGTGAAATCTTAACGATAAACGATAATAACAATTAGCTCTCAAAGGTAAAGGTTATATATTGGAAAAAATATATGAATATTTTTATCACTAAGACGTTACTAGTTAAGAACTCATTCAAAAATTGTGTGGAATTATTTTGAGATCAATCTATCTGTAAGGACCAGATCAATCTACCTGTATGGACCATCTCAATCTACATGTAAGGACCAGATCAATCTACATGTATGGACCAGATCAATCTACATGTATGGACCAGATCAATCTACCTGTATGGACCAGATCAATCTACATGTATGGACCAGATCAATCTACATGTATGGACCAGATCAATCTACCTGTATGGACCAGATCAATCTACCTGTATGGACCAGATCAATCTACATGTATGGACCAGATCAATCTACATGTATGGACAAGATCAATCTACATGTATGGACCAGATCAATCTACCTGTATGGACCAGATCAATCTACCTGTATGGACCAGATCAATCTACCTGTATGGACCAGATCAATCTACCTGTATGGACCAGATCAATCTACATGTATGGACCAGATCAATCTACATGTATGGACCAGATCAATCTACCTGTATGGACCAGATCAATCTACCTGTATGGACCAGATCAATCTACATGTATGGACCAGATCAATCTACCTGTATGGACCAGATCAATCTACATGTATGGACCAGATCAATCTACATGTATGGACCAGATCAGTCTACATGTATGGACCAGATCAATCTACATGTGTTGACCAGATCAATCTTCCTGTATGGACCAGATCAATCTACATGTATGGACCAGATCAATCTACCTGTATGGACCAGATCAATCTACATGTATGGACCAGATCAATCTACCTGTATGGACCAGATCAATCTACATGTATGGACCAGATCAATCTACCTGTATGGACCAGATCAATCTACATGTATGGACCAGATCAGTCTACATGTATGGACCAGATCAATCTACATGTGTTGACCAGATCAATCTTCCTGTATGGACCAGATCAATCTACATGTATGGACCAGATCAATCTACCTGTATGGACCAGATCAATCTACATGTATGGACCAGATCAATCTACCTGTATGGACCAGATCAATCTACATGTATGGACCAGATCAATCTACCTGTATGGACCAGATCAATCTACATGTATGGACCAGATCAATCTACCTGTATGGACCAGATCAATCTACATGTGTTGACCAGATCAATCTACCTGTATGGACCAGATCAGTCTACCTGTATGGACCAGATCAATCTACCTGTATGGACCAGATCAATCTACATGTATGGACCAGATCAATCTACCTGTATGGACCAGATCAATCTACATGTATGGACCAGATCAATCTACATGTATGGACCAGATCAATCTTCATGTATGGACCAGATCAATCTACCTGTATGGACCAGATCAATCTACCTGTTTCGACCAGATCAATCTGCATGTATGGACCAGATCAATCTACCTGTATGGACCAGATCAATCTACATGTATTGACCAGATCAATCTACATGTATGGACCAGATCAATCTACCTGTATGGACCAGATCAATCAACCTATATGGACCAGATCAATCAACCTATATGGACCAGATCAGTCTACATGTATGGACCAAATAAAAAATCTAAAACACTGGGCAGTAGGAACAACAGACTTAAAAACTGGATTTAAAACAAAACAAAACTTACAAATGAAAGGTTATCAAAACGGCTGAGTGTAGTCACAGCAGACTTGCGGCCTTCAGGACAATGAAACATCACAATCGAATAATCATTTCTTGTTTGTTACTGTTTTAGCCACGTTCAAACTTGTATACTTTATATCAAGTGTGGCGGCACGGGTGGCCCAGTCGTCTAAGGCGCCGCGATTCGCTGTGCAGAGTTGCGTCCCCTGGACACGCCAGAAACCTATGATTGTGGGTTCGAATCCCGGTTGACCCCGATTATGTTTCTAGGTTTGTCAGCACCATACCCGTGCTCGTGGGTTTCACTGAAGTGGTAAACGTCTGAGATCTGCATCACTTCGGGCTTTCCTCCCACATTAAGCTGACACGCCGTGATATAACTGGAATAATGTTAAAAGCGGCGTTAAACCCAACTCACTCACTCACTTATATCAAATGTATACTTTCTTTTGCCCGGCAGTATATGTTTGGGTGGGGTGAGACAAGGTGAGGTGAGACAAGGTGAGGTGAGGTTAGGTGGTGAGGTGAGGTGAAATTGGGTTTAACGTCGCGTCCAAGATTATTGCACTTATGTAGCGACGTGCATGCACGTGTGTGTGTGTGTGTGCGTGTGTGTGGCTGCTTGTACTAGTCCGGACTGATGCCGATTTATAGTGCTAGCTCACTGAGATACCATGCCGCAGTTTAAAACCCCACTCAGACACAGTATACTCCGACCAGTCCTTGTTTTAGCCCCTTAATGCCGAGTGTCAGACAGGGTAACAACAAGTACCATCTTTTAACGTCTTTTGGTATGACGCGGCCGGGGATCGAACTCCGGACCTTCCACTCTCCGGGCGGACGCTCTACCCCTAGACTACGGAGGCGGCGGGTGAGACAAGGAGACCCCCAACATGTGTATGATGTGTACGTGTGTACAATCTTGCCGGTCGATGGCGTGGAATATTATACCGACGTATTCTAATGCTATCTGATATGCTTGGGATTAATTTCTTTTAAATTGTTGAATAACTCGACATTGTGACAATGTATTTCTATGTGAACGTACGTTATCAGCAGCATCCCAGCCTGCTGCTCTAAACTTGAAGCGTGTGCACATTAATACCGGTTCATCAGAATACATACATTTCGATCTGTTCCCCATCTACTTGGCACGACCACATCGAACAGCAAATGACGCGGGATGTAACAACACTACAATTATTCAATACATGGCGGACAGGGCGACACAGAAATATGACGTCATTTGACCTATATCTATGCAGTGACCTATATCTATGGAGCATAACTGAGTGATTGAATTCGGTTTTACGCCGCTTTCATCAATAAATCAGCAGTATGGGTGTGTGTGTGGTGTGTGCGTGCGTGCGTATGGTGTGAGTGGGGAAGGGGAGTGGGTTTGACTAGGCAGCGCTTCCTGGGAGAAGTCCCATTCGATGTCTGGGCTGCATGTAGAGGGGGCAAGGGCCCTGAGCTGATGATGAGCCTAACCATCTGACTGTGCCAGGATCACCCAAACCCTCTTTGCTACATTTTTTATTTTAATCTGTATACAACCCAAGCTGCCTGTGAGGCGCTGGAAGGTTAACAACCATCCCACCCTACCGGGTACCCATTCACTGCTGGGTGAACAGAGGCACATTTCCAACAAGGTCACTTGCCCAAAGAGACACCACATGTGTTACATGTGCTACAGTGTGGGGAGGACCGAAGCCCTAGAAACTCTCAGGAGGTAAGCTGCTGAACAACCCAAACTCCCCCCCCCCCCCCCTCACACACACCCACCCCACTCTCCCGTTCCTCATACCCCCCCCCCCGACGTCCTCGCCCGTTTCCCTCACTTTCAAATGCCCCCGATCAGGAACAGTTACCTTCCGATCAAACATTGTAATATGAACTATGTAGAGCCCATCTCACAGAGACTCAAGCTCCCTGTGGTCCCTCCATTGTGTTGTCTTGGAGAGGGTGCCAATTGGAACCCACTACTCTTGTGCAGTGTCCATATAAGGACAATGCTTGTGAATATATTAGGTGGGGACAACAACTGAATTATCTCCAAAGCTCATATCTGACTTACATCTTTGTCCTTCTCGGCCACCTGTAGTTTCTCAGATTCCTCGGTGGTCTGTTTTCCGTGGGCCCTGCCCCGAAACTCCCGCAGTACTTTCAGCATGATTATCTTGCTCTTTGCCTGCAAAGAAAAAAATAACAGCCCATGATAGAATCGTTAAAAAAAGATCAAATTAATCTCATTATCGCGGTCCAACTACGGAAACGTGCCGCAATATTCCCGCAGTGCGCCATTACCGCGGGGAATCAAGACGTTTCTGATGTAGGTGGTGGGGTGAAATGGGGTTTAACGTCACGTCCAAGATTATTGCACTTATATAGCGACGTGCATGCACGTGTATGTGTTTGTGTGGCTGCTTGTACTAGTCCGGACTGATGCCGTTTTATAGTGCTAGCACACTGAGATAATATGCCGCAGTTTAACATGAATATCCCACTCAGACACAGTATACTGACTGAGCCGACCAGTCCTTGTTTTAATCCCTTAATGCCGAGCGCCAGACAGGGTAACAACAAGTACCATCTTTTAACGTCTTTTGGTATGACGCGGCCGGGGATCGAACCCCGGACCTTCCGCTCTCCGGGCGGACGCTCTACCATTAGACCACGGAGGCGGTCACGTTTCTGCTATAAGCTGACGGGGCACAATTGAGAAATGGCAGAGTTTCTGCAGAGGCACCGCACCTGGTATCGCAGACATTTCGCACACATAAGAGGTGAGTTCGTGTGTTCAGTAGTGTAGTTCCAACGTATTCACCAAGTCACCACATCAATATGCTAGGGCGCGTTTGTTTGCGGCGTGGAACAGAATCTTTGATACAATAGTTAATACAAGAGTTAATACAATAGTTCTCTTTCATTTGTTGTAGCTGAAATGAAACTACAATAATCAAATTGAAAGATTGAATTGATTCAAACGACTGCATGGGTTTTGTTGTTAGTAGTTTTGTCAACAGCAAGGAACAAAGAATTCAAGCGAGAACAACTGAATTCCTGAAAGTCGTCCCTTAAAGCGCTATTCGTTTCGACTGGTTATGTGTAAATTTCTCCAAAGATCTAGCCCTGGCAGAGGTTGGCTAACAAATGAACAGAAATCGTGAATTGTTCTACAAAAACAAGAACACTCCTTCAATTCCAATACAGGTCACGACGTGTTTAATGCTTCCTAAAACATTGTTAAAATCTATAGCTGTCTTAACAACTTCCACAAGTATCTGAAAGTTACAACTATCGGTTCTCTATCAGCTTTTGTAATTCCATTAATCCTAAATCTGTAAAAATCTTCCTCTTAAAAAATGAAATCGAAGAACGTTTCTCATACCATTAGAATATTTTCTCCCTTGACCGAGTTGTTACATTTGCTGATATTGACATGCGAATTACTTCGACATGAGATGTACATTTCAATACGTTAGCTTGTTAAGACTTCCTGTTGCGGTTTGACGTTCCGAAACGGATCTGAAATGGGCATCAATCGACCATGCGGTGTCCTGCCTTTGAAATCAAGCCTTTTATAGCGAGAGCCAGCCCGGCGAAATATGTGTTGATGTCCCTTGATGACGTTACAAATGAAGATGTCAATATCTTGATTGACAGAAAAGAGTTTATATTACATTTTGAGATTGGCATCTCATAACTGAAATTGACGTGTGGTAATGTTATTGCCGTGTTACATAAATGTAACAGTGCTCCCGAGAAAGTGCTGATACACGAGTTAAAGGTTTGGTCGTTTTGTATAATTATTCCATGGAAATAAAATGATTTTATTACCCGTCAGTTTGCCGGGATAAAATGTTGACGCACGAGAGTGCGTTAAATGACCTTTGACATTTTCTGTTGGAAGTCACCTTTCTTCAAGGTCATTTAACAGACATGTTTTAGAAACAGCTTCACGATGGCGAACCATCGGCATCGGGGCAGGATCGCAAACGCTCCTGGAAGGTGTTTTATACTTGTTTTTTTCGTATATTCAGACGAGGCTTTAAGCTTACACACGATTCATAACGGTCACAGTTCAACGAGTTACAGATGCAGATATCTATTGGCACTAAACTCATGACTTCAAATAGTTATGTTAAATGTTATTCCCAATCGCCGCACAGTTAAATAAACGCAGTAAAAGCGAGGCTGTCCCTGAAAGGTTGATAGTCCGACTCCCTGCACATGAACAGCTTCATGGTCATTTCTTCAGAAAGTATATATTTAACTCACACCTGTGCGGGGAGTGCCCTTCCATTTGAAATCATGTACATTCGACCAGCGCAGAGAAAGATGGTCATTTTATTTTATATATATCAAATTTAGGAATTCTTGCGTTTTGCTTGTTCAAGTATGAACAAAGTTGACCGCCTTATTCTGAAAATTGACAAAACATAAATATTGGACTTTTGATATAAAAACGCAATAGATTATTATGTTTTAACAGGCGTAACCAGGGAGACACATTCGTTCCGATAAAAAATGATTTTAAACGATTCCATATTGATATAATCTGCAAAATTTAATACATTTTCTTTACCAGCACAAAAGTTCATGACATCAGCAAAATGTTAACTATTCAATTCCAATTTCAAAAACACATAGTGCCTTCAAAACGTGTCTCAGTATGAAGCCACTGGCTAATCTGGAAGCAAAAGGTCCGTGTCTCAATTCGAGTGTCTCATCCTAATGTCAATCCTATGCCATTTAAAGAGATCCCGGCACGAGAACCGTGTCTGCGAGTATTTGTGCTCCCAAATGACGTTCTGGAAAGACAACAGCGCGACCGTCGAGAAATGCGATTTCCCTGCCGACTAATAACATTGGACCAAGCGGGATTTCAACCTGAGGAGAACCAAGTGTTTGGTTAATGTCGAAGTAATTTACTCTTCTGCTAAAACTCGGCAATAATGGTATTAAACACTTTTAATACGATTCTTAACCCGTCAGATAGTTTGTCTGTGCCTCAAAAACGAACTCTTCTGTTGACACGAAACTGTTCACATATCCGCTCGAGTCTTCGTAGAAAGAGAAGTAATCTTCGCTAAGCTTTCGGCTTGTCAATAGAGTCTCGCGCGGGCCCACTGGTGGCGCCATACCACGCCGGGTATTTATTAGGATTGAACTCGAGACTTGCTGTTAGGGAAACATTATCAGGTCCATGTAAAAGAAGCCTTTATCACTAGTGAAGATGAAATGAGTCGCTCGGTAAATGGTCTCGAGTTGGCATTGATGTTAAACCGTGGTACAAGGACACACTTTCCGACATATGCCCCCTCAAGGATTTAGCCGTGTATTAATAAGTGCAGTCGTGTGGAGAGGCTTTTTTATATGATTTTAGCCTATAATTCTATTTTCAGGGTTATTTCTGTTTCTTTTCACCGGCATCGTAGCCGGATTTGTGATTCGAGATCTAAGCATTCGTGGGAAAGAGGATAGCTTGTTCATTGAAAGTATATAATGTTACTCTTTAAACCTAATTTTAAACAAACAAAACCAAATTCAGACTTATGACATGAAATAAAATCGACAAAACTAATTCAATAATCATAATAAATCTTTGCTAAAAGCAGAGTCAATTGTACTTTTGGCCACTACCATGTGTTTAGGAATCACTACCATGTGTTTAGGAATCACTACCATGGCCACTACCATGTGTTTAGGAATCACTACCATGGCCACTACCATGTGTTTAGGAATCACTACCAGTTGTGTGTTTGTTGGTTAAAGCTATATGACAGACATAAAATCGAGTCTGGATCAGACAATCCAGTGACTGACAGCATAAGCATCGATCTACACAATTGGGATACGATGACATGCATCAACCAGTTAGCTCGTCTGTCCACCCGATCCCGTTAGTCGCCTCTTTCGACAAGCATAGTCGCCTGTCAAGGCAAGCATGGGCTGCTGAAGAACTATTCTATCCCGGATCTGCACGGGGCTCAAGGCAAGCATGGGCTGCTGAAGAACTATAATAATAAATCTATCCCGGATCTTCACGGATCTCAAGGCAAGCATTGGTTGCTGAAGACCTTTTCTACCCCGGATCTTCACGGTTTGAATCACTGTCAAATAGACATAACACCAGGTGTTCGCGAAAAGGTGAGTGTATCCTGCCACATAGGTTTCACCTGTAAACACATGCAACGGCAAGTCAATTATTCACCTGACAATACAAGTGGGACAAAGAAAACGGAATTGCGTGGTATATCACTTTGAAAACTGGCACGTCAAATTAATAATAGGAAGGAATTATTATGACATAATATTGCTGTCACAACTTATATCTTGGGGTATATCATTTTGCTGTTTGTATTACTAAATGAATTTGAATATCATGTTTAGCAAAGTGTTATGTTGCTACACGACGACACTCAGAAATTCAACTCCCCAATAATTAGAACCATTCCTGATAACAGTTCTGATGCTTAATCAGGTTCTATGATTCGTATTTGACACGACAATTCGCGCTGTTCTCATGTTGACGTCGTACCAGGAAGTATGCAACGGGGAAAGTAATGTTATAGAGCGGGGTGTGACAGATGTGGTGAATTATTGTCAACTGAAAACCATATTTACTCATCACGTGTTCCGATCCCTGACATCTCTGTGACAGGCTAACCATGAACAGATTGTACATGTCACTTCCCGCGCCGCCACGCACTGCCCCTGCATGTAATGAACTCATAAATCTATGTCCACGTGAGAATCGGAAACCTACAACGAGCAAAAAAACGGCCACAGCAAGGGAAGTGATTCTTACTGGATTGTAAATGGTCAATGAACGTCAGTTAAAATTGCACAAGGTAAAGTATTTCCCCGAAATAGCGGCACAATTAACGTAATTGAGGCAAAAGAAATACATCTCGTCTTTCCTGGCTCACATTCAGCGAGGAACACTCTGATTCCGTGTCGATGCTTCCTGAAGCGTGTGCCTGCTGTAAACAACACTGTATCGTTATGTGTTTGGTCTCTGCGAATGCTGTGCAGATATTCAGAGCCAGCATAAGAATACAGTTGTAACCCAATGTGTTTGTCACGTGCACGGTGAGGTAATTGCTGTGATTTTAGTCCTGTCTGACATCGTTTATTCATGGAACACTAAGCCCCTAGCCCCATAGTTCAACATATTTACAAGGT